GGGAGCCAGAGAACAGCTGTGCTGGGGGAGGCAATGGGGGAGGGGATGGTTGCCCTGCCAAGTCCCTGGCTAGCCAGGACCCCGCCCAGCTCTGGTTTTCCTCCCCCCTGCCTGAAGCCTAGTGGATTCCATCCTGACCCCGCACGACCTTCCTGCAGCCGTGCTAGGAAATGTGGCGTAAAACCGACTGGGATGTTTTGTTTTCCGGGCCGGAGGGGGGGGGAGTTGTCAGGTTTCAGCTGCCTTCCCACCCTGCCCTTCTGCTTCCCCTGGCCGCAGCCTGGGCTGCGGTTCTCGGGTCAGGGACCAGCTGTGATGAGGTGGGCCAGGGGGTCGGGCATCCTTCCCTCTGAGCTCTGCAGCAGGCTGGGTCAGCTGCATCCCCCATCTCGGAGGCTATGTCTACACTCGCAGCTGCTTCTGCAAGTACGGCCATTCTTGCGCAAGAATCCGCAGAGCGTCCACGCTGCCCGCCCGCTCTTGTGCAAGGAACTGTACAGTGCGCGTGGGAAGAGAGGGCTCCTTGTGCAAGAATCCGCAGAGCATCCACGCTGCCCTCCCGCTCTTGTGCAAGGAACTGTACAGTGCGCGTGGGAAGAGAGGGCTCCTTGTGCAAGAATCCGCAGAGCATCCACGCTGCCCTCCCGCTCTTGTGCAAGGAACTGTACAGTGCGCGTGGGAAGAGAGGGCTCCTTGTGCAAGAATCCGCAGAGCATCCACGCTGCCCTCCCGCTCTTGTGCAAGGAACTGTACAGTGCGCGTGGGAAGAGAGGGCTCCTTGTGCAAGAATCCGCAGAGCATCCACGCTGCCCTCCCGCTCTTGTGCAAGGAACTGTACAGTGCGCGTGGGAAGAGAGGGCTCCTTGTGCAAGAATCCGCAGAGCATCCACGCTGCCCTCCCGCTCTTGTGCAAGGAACTGTACAGTGCGCGTGGGAAGAGAGGGCTCCTTGTGCAAGAATCCGCAGAGCATCCACGCTGCCCTCCCGCTCTTGTGCAAGGAACTGTACAGTGCGCGTGGGAAGAGAGGGCTCCTTGTGCAAGAATCCGCAGAGCATCCACGCTGCCCTCCCGCTCTTGTGCAAGGAACTGTACAGTGCGCGTGGGAAGAGAGGGCTCCTTGTGCAAGAATCCGCAGAGCATCCACGCTGCCCTCCCGCTCTTGTGCAAGGAACTGTACAGTGCGCGTGGGAAGAGAGGGCTCCTTGTGCAAGAATC